CCAGCTTATGTGACCAACCCAGTCATACTTAGTGCTTACACCCCTACTTCCTACCCCTGCCCTCGGCAGCAGCCAGTGTAGCACACAAACGCTTCTTCTTTCCATGATGCTGCGTGTTTCAGAGCAACAGTGACGTACCAATGAGAAAAGTGTGTTCAAGTCGCGGCGCCAACTCCGCCCGGCCGCTCTTAAAGGGACCGCGTCCGGGGCGACACACGGGGCTGTGAACCGCGCCAAGCGCAGTCCGAGCCAGGCCCTCTCCTCGCTGCACACATCCACGGTAACGGGACCGGAGACCTGCCACCACCCAGGAGGGGAAACGGATCTCGTGAGGTAGATTTGAGGAAGCCGTTTGGAGACTGAACTCTCATTCTTCAAACGGGGCACTGGAGCAAGGGTCAGGGAGAGCCTTGGAGCAGGTGTGTCTAGCGCGCACCGGAAACCCCCAGGAGCAGCGGCCTGAGGATTCTCACGGGTAGGGATGGCATAGCTTCCCGTTGGGAGCCTGAGGGTGGCCTGCCAGTGGAGCTGTGCCTGTAGGCGCCAGGACACAGGGCCTCCACCCACGAGCATGCCCCTGGCCAGCCCAACAGGACTGCATGCGTTTGTACAACACTTTGAAATGTGACTAGAAAAAATATGAACGCCTGTAAGTTCAGGAGTCGAGGTGTATATCCATCACCCACTGGACCTGCAGCATTTGGACAAAACATGGACAAACATTTGTGTCCTTAGCATTTTTGACCTCGGTTCCCACATAAATGAACGCCTTTTAAACTGTAAGGTAAGTTATTATTTTTCCCACTTCATATTCAAAGAATATTGCTCAAAGAAGTTGAAGGACAAAAAAGACAATGGAGTTGGTGTGTTGAAGAGAACTCAGGTCTTCTCAACTAAATTTTAGATCTCTCCTAACAGTTTTCTTAGCAATCCAGTTCATCCAAGATACTCAGGATTTGCACCCATGACAAGACACTTACATCGAATCTGAACTGCCTAGAACGTATAATGCACAGGAGATCAAATTAATTGGTTTGGAGTTTTATCAATTTTAGCTTTTTATACATGTAATAACTATATATTGGTTGTCTAAGGCCAAGAGTGAATGAGCAACTTACTTGATATCTCCTTAGAAAGTGACAGAGCCTGTTTTATAACCCAGGTAGTCTGACTCTAGAGCTGGTCTTCACAGAAACCATTCTGCTGGTCTCCAGTGGAAAGTACTAAGGAGTGTATCAAACACACAAATAGTAATGTCATACATTAACCTGACTGTCACTATGGGTGTCATATGGACATGTAGGTACAGTGCAATTGGAGGCAGGAGGGTTGGGGCAGCCTCTCCCTTCCCTCCCTTCAGCTAGGGACATGGCACCACCCTGGTGATTGTCTGTGCTTAGGTTGGGAAGTTACAAAGCCTGAGATTGTGGATCGTGGGCAACAGTGAGAGATAGAATGGGAGGCACCTGTGTTAGAGGTGTCTGACTTTAAATCCTGGAAGCCTGACTTGTCCAGGGTTCCTCTGCCTTCTCCTTTTTCTCTTTGCCCTTCTTCCTGCTTCTGCTGCTATCATCCCATGATCTTCAATAAATGTAGCTACTTACTATAAGGTGTAGACTTGGCAAATCTTTCCTTGTCATGCACAAGAACCTTAACTATTTTTGGCCCATTCAAGTGTAACAAGAAAGTACTGAGTGAAGATTTCTAGCTGATGAAGTGACTGCTTGTTTCCTGGCTACCTTTTACTTCACAGTTTCTGGACTCCTCTTCTGCTCAGGCCATGAATAACTCCTGCTCATCCTCCCCCCATAAATACCTTCTCACCCAGCTGAAGCCCCTTCCCAATACCTAGACTTCTTTCCAATGTTCAGGCTTTAAGAATCCCATGCAGAACTGGAAGAACATCCAGTTTACCCACTCTCACTGCCAGGAAGACTGAAATCAGACTGGAATGTTCTTAGAGGACATAGCAGAAGCCAGGACACTGGGAGCCGAGAAGGCAATAAAGTTAGATGTTGATGTGAACAGTGCACCATGCAGTGAACTTTAATGACCCCAAGTTAGTAACTATGAAATGAATTAGTTTATATTTCATGCTTATCAAATAGCCAGGTTTAATTTGTTATTCAGCCTCATCACAACATGTATAACACAGATACAGAAACAATTTATCATATATTAAGAAGTGATATAAAAGAATACCATTGCAACACAGTCATTCGTGCCCAGTAAATTCCTCAATCAATATCTCATGCCTTATGGGACTTCCTAGGCAGAAGATAATGAATAATTTGCCTTGATTAAGTAATACTAGAGTATTCTAGCCCTAGGTTCCCTTTTCTTGTTGTGCCTGCTGGATAGATAAACACTGGCTGTGATGTGATATTTTTCCATTTTTCCATTATCCAAAGGCTTAGCAAGCAATAATGCTAACCAATATTATTAAACTGCCCTACCTTGTAGAAAGTGTAAATGAAGTGCCAGGTACCATTAGGTATATAATTAACAAAGAATGGTAATTTTTAATTTATAGTTGACTAGTAATCTATTCTGATGTTTGACAATTAAAATAGAAAAAAAATTTAGCTTCCAAGAAATTGTTTATAACATTCACTATTTTTCACTAAAAATTAATTGAATTAGAAATCATCTTATTTCTAAAACACTTGGAATAATGGATATAACAGAGTAAAATTAGTAAAGTGTAATACAGATAAATAATATAATCATGTCCTCACTTTTTTTTCTTAAAATAGGAACCAGAGTACTCTATTTTTTTATCAGTACCTTTGCAATACATAATGATTACATTCTTTGTGGAGAGTTGCTATGTGTACATGACACATCTTATTTCATCTCTTTCCCCTCCTCTTTTGCCCTTCTCCCATTTTCTCTTAATCCCCTTCCCATTTGAGAAAGGCCTGTCCTGTCTCCCTTCTTCCTATTATCTATCTTTAACTTTGTTCTTTATTTATTTTGGGTTTCTCATATAAGTTAAGTCATGTGATAAATTTACATGTCTGATTTGTTTCACTTAATGTATGTTTTCAAGATACACCCATTTTACTACAGATGATTCAAATTTATCATCATGGCAGAATAGTACTCCATGATGTATATATACCATATAAATATGCCACATTTTCTTTGTCACTGTAAAATGATTACATTTTGGGGGGAAGATACTTAGAAGTGGAATAGCTGGGTCATCTGGAATTTGAGGGAAACCAGCAAATCTCAAATGATGCTGCTTGGCCCTCTTCTTCATGACACAAATGCCCTCCCTTGACTTCCTTTCTTTAAGAGGACCTGAAACATGAAGTAAGCTTCTCTTTAAAAAAAAGTAAAATCAAGCAAAAGAAAACACTTGTTCTGCTGATGCTGTATTATAAGTTGATTATTAGTTACATGTTTCCCCCCATTGTGTGAGCAGTTTCAATGAAGTGCACTAAGACCCATGAGTGCTGACTAGTAGGGACAGGCACTCCATAGGGCAGCACCTAGTCCTGGCATTACTGGACTCAACAACAGATTTAAGAGGATCATAGATGATGGTCAGGGATGTTCTCCAAAAAGCTAGTTGTCCGAGGATAGATCCTAAACTGAAGTGAGGGTGCAGTGAGAGTTCTCTTTCCAATTCTGCTTACTTTTCTCTAAGGCCTCATCTGCTGCATGCTTACTTCCCCTTATGTGGAAAGCAAGTGGATGTGGATGGGTGTTAGTGTCACTAACAAGAGGGAGAGAAAAGTTGAAACCTGGCCTTCAGTGCTTCTGTGTGTAAGTGCATTGCAAGCACTGGTAGACTGCAACCGAATAGACTAAGTTCCAAAATACTCTGCCACTTGCTAGCTACATGACCTTACAAAATTGTCCCTGTCTTGGAGTAGTAAACTATTTTAAAATGTAACTTACATATGCCAGCACATAGCAGGCAAAATGTATTGTCCTATTCCACCTTTTATTCTATTTATAGCACCAGAAGTTCTAAATCCTACTTGTTTTCATTGGGCCTACTTCCAAAAAGAAGCAATCCAAGTGATTTTTATAAACTATACACCATCACTATCATTGAAAGTACCAGGATCATGGCAAAACTGATAATAAGACTTGCACTATACTTCACAATCTACTTACTATTTCATTTGATGCTCAAAATAATTCCATAATAATTCTGTAGTACCTGAGAATTACAAAATTACAGCGCAGAAAGGACCCTTGACTTTATTTGGTACAATCTCATTTTATGGATGAGGAATAGAGAATTCAAGAGATACAGATCATCCTTGTTCACAATTGAGTGCTTTCTTCACTTCCCTGTCTGCTTAGAAATAAAATTTAAAACAGCAAATAGTTGACCAACATTGGCTTAAAGCTTTGAACTTTCATTGTGTCAGGAGATTATGGTAAAGAACTCAGTATTCTATTCCTGTACTTTTAAATTACACTTAAGATTCTGAACATTTATTCTCACCACAATTGTAAGTCTCAAAGTATTTTTCTAAGTGTTCAAATACTATTACAGAAAATGGAAAATTATGAATGGATTTGAAGCAGGACAGTAACACAATCAGATTGTGCTTGGTTGAATTCAGAGGACCTAGGAGACAGACAAAAGCCCTTGCTTAGTTTATTCAATTTTTTTCATTCATTCTTTTATTCAACTGTTTTTTTTTTTTTTTTAGTACCTGTAATGTACTGAACTCAAAGTGATTATGAAGCTTATACTGTATGGATAAAGACAGATAAGTGACTAACCAAATGAACAAAATATTTGCAGGTTTGACAAAGTAAAATAAAGGGTATAAAAAGGCTGTGTAGTAGATAATCATGGAGGAAGAAAGAGCCTGTTTAGATTGGATGAATGAAAGGGGAAAAGTAACACTGGAACAACTCAGAGAAAAATAAAATGCAAGTATTCCTGAGACAAGAGCAATATTATTGTATTTGAGGAATTTGGATAAAGCCAGTTTGATTCCTGGACCATTAACCAGCCAGAGGAGAGAAGCAAGAAATAGAATTGAAGAGATTATCTACCACAATCCTAAAAAACTAAAGCAGGAAGGGCAGATCTTCCAGAATTGTGATAGAGCAAGAAGGATAGCTTCGAGGAAGCGTCAATGAATACACTCAGTTTCTAATTTAGGCAACTAGTTTAGAAAGGAAATTTAAAATTTAATCTAAGGAATCTTAGAAATGTGGGAGGCCTGCTGATGGTAGAGAAGATAGGAATGGATTTAATTGAGACATTTCTAATTTTGATGCACAGTATCTGCAAGGCAACCAGATGTAAGTGTTCAGTCAACTGGAAATACAAAGTGTGGTGCCTCAGAGAAAGCCTGAAGACTGTATCTTTTGATTGAGAGATCACTGATTTGGAATTGAAGTTATTAGAAAAAAGAGGAGAGCATCTGAAGGAGTTTAGAATGAAGAGACAGGAAAGCCTGTACCAGAATCCTGGAGAAAGTCAACAATTAAGAAGAGGAAGATCCAGAAAAGTTACATATGGGTATGACAATGAAACCACTAATAATAATAATAACTAGCTAATATTCACAGATTTTAAGCATCACATATTTTATAAGAAAGGATGGTATAGACATAATGGCAGAGAAAGGAAACTGTTAGGAATAGAAAGCAAGACAGCTTGGAGCAGAGACGCTGCACTGGAGAATAAGATAAGATAAAAGATTAGAACAATATTGAGGAGAGAGAAAAGATTAAGGAAAAGTAGTGAAAACTAGATTAAGGAGTTTGGATCTAATATGCCAAATAGATATCCTTTAG